GAAGAGGAAGAACATGGTTTCAGACCTACTAGAAATCCATATTCCATAAGAAGTATGTGAAGAATGTGTTCGAGCAAATAAAAACAAGAATAACTTTAGCAAGGATGCAAGAAGTAAGTCAAAATCCACTCTCGAGGTAATCTACTCAAATGCGCGTGGTCCTCTCTAGGTAGATCCACTTGTAGGTGATAAGTACTTTGTTATATTTATTGATGATTATAGGAGAAAGTTGTGGACCTCCTTAATCAAGAAGAAAAGTGATGTGATCGATGGTTTCACCAAGTTCAAAGCAATGGTTAAAAGACAGAGTGGTCACAAGATTAAGGTTCTGATGACAAATGGAAGTGTAGAGCATGTGTCGAAATATTTCGACGCACTATGTACAAAAGAAGGAATTATGCATGAGGTGGTGCCACCATACACTACTCAACAAAATGGTACTGCTAAAAGAAAGAACTAAATCATTATGAATATGGTGAGAAGTATCTTAAAACGAAAGTATCTCCCAAATGAGCTATAGGGCAACACTGTGTCGAACGTAACATACATACTAAAGAGATGTCTAACAAAGAGACTTGAAAGTGTCACACCAGAAGAATGTTGGTCTGGTGTTAAACCTAGTTTAAGCTACTTGAAGGTGTTTGGAGCCATAACACATTGGCATATGAAAGATCAGCTGAGAAGAAAGTTGGATGATAAGTCGAGTCAGATGATCCTGGTGGGATATCATTCGACTGGTGGATACAAACTATTCGACCCAATGAACAAGAAATTCATGATCAACAGGGATGTGATCATAGATGAGCTTAAGGAGTGGGATTAGACTAAGAACATCAAGAAGGGTTCAGTGAGAATCATGTGTGATGAACCAACTAGTGAAGCTATTAGAGATGTTTGACAAGCTGTTAGAGAATTTCGACAAGAAGCTATCAAAGGTCAAGTTAGCACAAGAAGACCTCAAAGAACAAGAAACATGCATGTAATACTGCAAGAATGTGTAATCACATCAGATGATGTGGTTGATGATGAAGGTTAGTTATTACACTATGCCTTCTATGCAGATATTGAGCCAATCAATGCAACTGAAGCATTTTAAGGTGGATGAAAGCTATGATGGATGAGATAAAATCCATATAAGACAATAATACCTGGTCACTAGTGGAATTTCCAAAAGGGGATAAGTCAATTAATGCAAAATGGGTATACAAAGTCAAGTTGAATCTAAAAGGTGAAGTAATTTGACACAAGGCAAGCCTTGTAGCAAAAGGGTTTCTTCAGAAAGAATCAAAACAGTAGCTAGAATCGAAACAATCAAGTTGGTTCCTGGTCTAAATATGCATAATTGGTCGATATGTCAGATGGATGTGAAATGTGAATTCATAAATGACCCTCTAGAAAAAAAAAGGTGTATGTAACATAACCAGTTAGGTTTGTGAAACAGGACCAAGAAAGGGAAGTATACAGGTTGCATATAGCCATGTATGGACTAAAACAAGATCTAAGAGCATGGAACAAGAAAATAGACGTCTTTCTAAGAGAGAAAAAGTTTGAGAAGTGTTTGACAAAGCATGGTGTGCATGTTATGAGAAGCAAGAGTGAGCTGCTTATACTATGTCTCTATTTCAATGACCTGTTGATAGCAGGCAGTTACAAGAAGGAGATGAAAGAATTCAAACATGATTTAAGTAAGGAGTTTGAAATTCCAGACTTGGAAAATATCTCATACTTCATTGGAATTGAATTCTACAAGAATAATAGAGGTTTTATGATGCACCAAAGAAGATATGGAGGCGAAATACTCAAGAGATTTGAGATGAAGATTGCAACCCAACTTCGACCCCAACTGAGCCCAAATTGCAACTTTTAAAAGACTCAGATAAAGATGATGTCAATCCAACGCAATACAGAAGACTCAATGGATGACTTCGATACCTCTGTCACACAAGGGAAAATTTAGATTATTATGTAGGCATGGTCAGTAGATTCATGCAGAAGTCAAAAGTATCTCATCTTGCAACCACTAAGACGATACTAAGGTATCTCAAAGGAACACTCGACAATGGTATTTTATTTCCTTTAGTCGATGAAGGAATATAATGAAAACTTGTGGGTACACTAACTCTAGTTGGTGTGATAATGCTGAAGATAGAAAATCGACAGTAGAATATGTGTTCATGTTAGGTGGTGCGTCAGTTGCATGAAGTTCGAGAAAGGAACCGATGATAACTTTATCATCATGTGAGGCAGAATACTTAGAAGCTTCTCTATGTGCATCCCAAGCAACATGGATGATGGATCTAGTCGAAGAAATTACATGGACAAATCATAGAGCAATGACCATGAAGATCGACATCATGCCTACTATCAACATGATGAAGATTCCGATAGCACGAAGAAGAAACAAACACATCAAAATGAGGTTCCATTACCTGAGACAACATGTAGCAAATGGAAGGTTGAGCCTAGAGCATTGCAAATCATAGGTTGAGATTGCAGATATATTATCGAAGGTTGTACATGAAAAATTGTTCAAGAGATTAAGAACAATGATGAATGTAGATAGCTTAGACACAATGAATTGGGTGGTGTGTTAAATATGTAATTCTTTGTGTAGAAGTCGAAATAGAGTGTTTGTATTCGATGAGTGTCAAAATTAGTTTGTCTTGAACAGAGTCTGTATTTGCTATATTTGACAGAAAGTCAAATATAGCTTATCAAAGTATGAAGTCGAAACATGTAGTTGTCGAAGAAGTCGGCAGAGTCAAAATAGTTAATTTATCTTAGTTTTAGTTGAGTTAGTTATTTTGTGATTACTTAGAGTGCAAGTAATCTCATATATAAATAGAGAAACTCTCTATTTTATTTATATCAAGTATAAGAAAGCATTGAGTAGTTTCTGAAATCACAGTTGTGATTAACACACATTATCAAACACTTAAAGTGTAGTTTGCGCAACAACATTACATTCTTCTTCTTCCTCCAAAATTTCTCTTTTCTCTCACTTTCAATTAATATTGTTTTCATCTTTCAAATCTCTGTGTAGTGTAGAATTATCTTGTAACCAAGGAGTGATCATTTCACTTGGGGAAAGAACAAGAGGCGTGATCAATAAAAAAGATTGAATTTTATTCATTAAGATTGATTTGTTTAACTGTAAAATTGAAGTTTTCTCAACAATTGTGACATGACTAAAGTTTTGTGGAAAAAATTTATATAAACACTCGATTACTCTTGAATTTAATCGAATATCAGTATTTTTATTTAATAAAATAATAATATTCAATGTCATATTATATTTTAATATTATTTTATCTTAAAATAAATTTAAAAATTAAATTTATTTATACTAAAAATACCCATACCCAATCAAAATTCATGGGTTCCAAAACTATATCAAAATTTTATTACTATGGATAATCATCATTAGAGTTCTTATTTTCCACAAAGGCTTTCTAAGCTGAGTTCAATTTCATATTGATTCTCCAAAGATGGGTGGCATTCTTTAGCCTTGTCATTACTATATTTTGGTTTCTTAGAAATTCAATAATTTCTCGATAATCTCTTATTCTCCTGAGCGATTCATGATCAATTTAGGAAAATCTACTAGATGCTACTCACACCCCCACGTTATGTTACGCCCTCATGGTTTACTTGAACGACTCTCAAAATTCTCATAAAATCCTTATAGGTTTCAAACGACGGTAGCATGTTACGTCCCACTTGAATTTGGCACCCTCATAGTTTTGTAATTCTAAAACTGCCGTTAAAAAAAATTTAAAACAAATTTTTCTTATGAAATTTCCGTTTGACATATCAGAATTTTTAGTATACACTAAATTTCTAAATTTTACATGAATTTTAAAATATTATTGAAAATTTTAAATGTTTCATTTTATGTTGGAATTTTTAATTAAAATAAAATTTTTGATAGTTCATATTCAATAAAAAAATATAACACTTCTGAAAATTTTGAAATTTTCAGTACTATATCGAAACTTTTGAAATTTTTGTTTGTGTACTAGAAATTTCGAAATTTTCAATAGTGCAGAAAAATTTCAAAATTCCGGTATTTTTCTTTTTTTTTTTAAATATCCATTTTTTATTGAAAATTTTGAAATTTTTGATAAAAAAAATAATTAGAAAATTTCTGGTACATACTGCAAATTTCGAATAAAAATAGGTAAATTTAAAAAAAAAAACTGATTTATAATAATAAAAGTGTTCTAAATGGAAGGTGACAGGTACAAGTGAGGGAATGACAAGTTAAATGCTAAAATGATGAACATATATATGAAAATATATATGAAAGTAGGCATATTATTGGCCCAATTCGTATTGGAGTCTAACATTTGTACAAGACACACATATAATACAATACGTGTTGACAAAGTTAGAAAGTGTAGGAAAAATCAAATGTTAAATTGATGCAGATATTAACACGTTCAAACAATTAAATCAAATGTTTTATTAAAAACTTGTTGTTTAGAATTTTTCTCTTTTCTGCCATAGTTTTAGGGGTTAATTTCCAAAATGCCATAGTTTCTAATTAATATACCAAATTGTCATATTTCCAAAAAAATCTCATTTTTGGTTAAACACTTCCGCCCTTTCAATGGACGGCAGAGTGTAATCCATGTTTTTCTTTTTCGTTTTATTTTTTATATTTTCTTAAATATTATTACTAATTTATATATTAATATTAATAATATTAGTAAATTAATAATAATAATTATTAAATTAGTAATAATAATTAATTTATTAATAATTATTATTAAATTAGTAGTAATAATAATTTAATTAGAAATAATAGTTATAAAAAAGATAATAATAATAAAAAATAAAATATTACGTAAAAATAAAATAAAATAAAATAAATTATTTTAAAATAGTACTAATTAAAATAAAATAGTACACTGAAATATATGATAATATTTATAAAATAAAATACAATAAAAGAACTAAAATAAATAGTTATTAATTTTTGAAATTAAATATGTACATTAAAATTCATATTCATCCTTAATTAATTTCGACCCAGTCGACGTAAGTGGTGGTTCCACCGGCAGGAGGTTGTACATTTCTGGTGGACCGGGAATGTCTTGTTTAATTCCGAATTGGAGTTTCACTCTATCTGAATGATGCATTTTAACATAAGTGAAAGACAATATAAATGTTGTAGAACTCCACATATCGCTTTCAGTGGGATCCTCATCTTTAAGTTCAAGATAGGGTCTCCATAGAAACTATAATATAATTAAAAAGGGATTAGAGAAAAAAAATGGAAAGTGCTAGTAGAAAAATATGGGATTAGAGACAATACATCATCTTCCTCAAAATGATCGAAGAACGTCCGATACCCAGAAGCACAATGCGGAGTTTTTTCGTAATTCATCTCATACGCGGACCACATTAGTTAATGATATCAATTAATATAAACAATGTATTAAAAAGTATAAATTAATATTATACGTTAATTGATTATAATAATATATATTAATATTATTAATATATATATTAATATTAATATATATTAATAATATTAATATTAATAATATTAATATATAATAATAATATTAATATATATTAATATTATTAATATTAATAATATTAATATATAATAATATTAATATTATTAATATAAATTAGTAATAATATTTAAAAAGAATTAAAAAATAAAACGAAAAAAAAAATATGCTATGTACATAACCGCCCATTTAAAGTGCGGTTGACTTTTTCATTACACTCTGCCGCCCATTGAAAGGGGGGAAGCGTTCAACCAAAAATGAGATTTTTTTGGAAACATGGCAATTTGGTATATTAATTGGAAACTATGGCATTTTGGAAATTAACCCCTAAAACTATGGCATTTTGTTTACTTCAACAATTAATTTAGTTATCTAATGATTGGAATTTAAACTCTTAAAAATGAATAAATCAAGTGTCTTGGGTTCAAACATTTGATTACAATTAATGTTAGTAATTGATGTCCTGTATTTTTTTAAATATTATTGGTGTCAGAGTGGCAGTGTTCGTGACATGTCCAAGTGTTTGTGTCGAATTCTGTATTTTATTATAACCATAACTCTTATTATAACTCTAAGTGTCAGATTTTCATTAATGCAGATTTTTATAAGATGCATGTTGCATTAGTGCTATTATGAGTTTGCTACGAGGCCTTATCTTCTACATTTGCTTAGGTGCACCATTCTCGTTGACAAATTCTACAAATTGATGGATGAATTGTATATAATGATTTGTTTTGCGATCTGGGCTTCAAGAACCAGGCATGGGTTTCAATTTCCTCGACAATGTTATACCTTGAGGATTTCTTAAGACACCTCATGGGTTTCTTTCCCACTGTGTGGTTTTTCACAAATGCCTTCAGATTTCGGAGATATATCTTCGGACCCACTCCATGGCTTAATAATATTTCAGAGATATATCTCCGGAATAATTTAAACTCACAACATATCTCCCACAGTCCATTTCCATTTGAATTTTCAGAGATGCATCCACGAAAAAAATTTGGAGATACATCTCCGAATTGTTTCAGAACAGGTTTTTTTTAAAAACGCATATTGTATTTGTTCACAGATGAATTATAAAATAATAGACAAACCAAAATAATATAACAATATAGTAATAGGATATCATATGTCACGTAAATCCAAAATGTAGTAATGAAACAAAATAAATACAGACAACTACTGGGTGAGCCTAACAACCTCTCATTTGCCTCATGTGCCTCCTGTGATTGGTCTTCCTCCTCGGCCATCGACCCCCTTGTCCTTGCGCGATGTCTGCGGTACAAAAGTTCCCCATGTGCCTTTGCAATAATGTTATCCATTACTCGACTAACAACAGGCCCCTCAGGGAAGATACCTTCATCAATGCTTGCCTGCACCATTTCCATTATGTGACGAAAACGAGGAAAGACATCCTCAGTATGATCCATCTGAGCCTGCTGCCCCTATAGAATCTCCTGACGAGCAGGTATGGATGGATCTCCTAGAGAAATTGGCACCATGTATGAATGTGAGACCCTGAAGAACCACCTGATGTATCCGTCGATGTAGCTCTAGTCATTCGGCGCTATGGTAGCCTGGGCCTTATCTGGTACCAGATGACTCTGATAATTAGCAAACATCTTCTCTATCTGTATACGAGTCAAGGCCGAAGGTGCAGAGGCAACAGGGTGTATGGGGATGGTCTGGGTGTACTCGAACTGCCAGATGACGCGCTCGGACAGATAAGGAGCAGTGATAGTCGACAACCAGGCCAACCGTCTGGAGTATATTGATATGCTGTCAAATGGCCGCGTCTGACGGTGATCCACGTAGTAGTTGAAGTGGATGTCCTCGACAACCAAGCGGTCAAGATAGACTCTAAAAGGCTCGTCCGTCTGGTTCCCTCTCAGTGGAATAAAAGCACAGGCACAAGGCATCTCCTCAGTGTATTCATCCTAACACGCCCAACCAGCGATGCGCGGGAAGTGCTGGAGGATCCAAGCCTAAAATGAAAATAGAAAGGTATTTATGGATCAAGAATTATCGCAAATATGAAATGAAAAAGATAAAAAAAACATTCAAGGATACCACCAGTAGGGTCGTGCTTCCTATGATCTGCTTCATCGTCCACCAATACCCATCTATCAGCTTTGAATACAGATATGCAAGGAAAGTCACCCCTCAGTTGTACTCATGGATCCATGTGAGATCCAAGAAGTACTGGAGGTATGCAACATTAGTGTAGGTGGCACTCGTGTCCACAAAAAGCATAGTGCCAACTATAAATAGAAAATAACACCTCAAAGCATGAGTCTTGTGTATGGATACATCCTGGGCATCACCATAAGCCTGCGCTGCAACAACGAGCACCTGATCAAATCTCTCCTTCAAGAACGAAAACCTAAAATGAGCACCCCAAGTCCTATCCACCTCCTTCAGCGCCTTTCCTAGATCAGCCCTCAGATGCTCCACCATCATATCGACCGCCTCGTCTTTGGTCATCCTACCATGATGGAGGAATATCCCTTTAATTGGTAGATGCAATAAACACGAGACATTGTCAAGTGTAATCAACATTTCACCATGCAGGAGATGAAAGGAAGAGGTCTCAGAGTGCCATCACTCCACGAATGCATTAAGCATCCTGTGGTTGACCAAAGTGTAACTGGTCAAACATATGTCACTCAACCTAGAAGTAGTCAGAACCGACTAAAGCCACTATTCATCAGGCTAATGCAATACTAAAATATTTCGCCCATGGTTCATAAACTTCTAGGGATCACACATCTACGAATTTCCAAAAATAATCAATGTCTATAAGAATCAATGTTAGGAATAATCAATGTCAACAATTTAAATTAATGTAAGAAAATATAGTAACAATGTGACTAATGTTACCTCTCTGTACCTGATATGTCTGACAGTGTGGTTTGGGTATAGATAAAGTAGGGACATATCATATGGACCCCCTCCAAAATCCTCTAGCTCGACATCAACAACATCACCCTCCGGAGGTGGCAGCGGTGCATCCCGATCAGCAGGTGTGACCGGATCAGCGAGAGGTGGCACCGAATTAATAAGAGGTGGCACCGAATCAATAAGAGGTGGCACAAGTGCATCTTGTCGTCTATAGGAGGATGGGGGAAGTGACGCGTCAGCTGATGCATCCCGTGGTCTGCGGAAAGAAGATGAAAAAGGTGGAGTGGGCTGAGATGTAGTTGGAGTGGTATGAGATGTAGATGGAGTGGCCTGAGGTGAAGGATGAACCCTCAGAGAGGACTAAACCTCAAGAGTAGACTATACTCCAGCAGTCGACGTCTCTCCCTAACCAGAGGTACCTGCTACATTCAGACCTGTCTGACTTCACTCTCGTCTAACGGATGCATGCTTGGCTACCCGTTCATGCCTCAATCGGCCGACTCTGTTAGCCATTAAGCATGTAAAGTATAATATAATTACCCATACAATGAATTTACGCAATACGAAAAATTATAAAACAAAAAGAAAAAAAAACAGACTGAGAAATTCTGGAGATACGTCTCCGAAAAAATTCAACGTCTCATGTACTCTAGGTGCTTCCGGAGATACAACTACAGAAACAACTCTGGGTGTCACCTTAACACGCTCTCTAATATTGTTATTTCTAATCTTATATTATAGTCTTAAAGTTTATCGATAAAATTTTCCATTGAGTTTGTGTGATACTTTTGTGTCACATAAAACCCTCGAATCTCTCCTCCATTTCAATCACCCAACTTGAATTTGAAGATTTACGCCTCTTTATACATCTCCATCACTTTGTAATAGAGCTTAATTCACAAGCATTGTTACATACCAAGTGTTTTTTTTGTTAGCACGTTACAATAGATTTTTCAGCTAAAGCATTATTTTAAGATTACCACTACAAGAAAAAAGGAGATTTACGACACTTGAGTTGCGACAGTTATCACAAAATCGTCATTATTCATGGATTGCGACGGTTGTCACGACAGTTAGGGTCAACTGTCGTAGATTTTTTACGACAGTTATCAAAAAACCATCCTTATTCCTGGACTACGACAGTTCTCGCGATGGTTTAAGCCAACCGTCGCAAATTTTTTAGGCATGTTGTATAAAATAATGTGACAGTTACCAAAGAACCACCCTCTTTCCACATTCGCGACAGTTAATGCGAACTGTTGCAATTACTTTAACCAATCATAATCACTATTTTTTTTATTCCTTTAATTTTCCACTTTTTTCTTTCATTTTTATTTTCTAACCTTTTCAAATTTATTAATTAATTTAATAAATAATTATTATAATTTTCATGACAATGTAACTTAATATTTTTGTCTAAAATAATAGTAAAATATTTTCTATTTTATTATATAAATAGTTAACTTTTATTAAAATTAATTTTGGTAACAAAATATGTTTATATATATATGGAGATTATAAATACATTACAAATTATAAGTTATAGATTAAAAATGTATTGAAAAAAAAGTTTCAATTCCACGACCGTTCTCCATCAGCCGTTGTGTTCGTATATACTAAATTTTCAATTCACGTGGTTATGATTTCCAAATTCTACCGCCCTTTTATTTTATTTCAGATTCGTAAACCCTTGTTGTTTTCCATCCAAACTGAAACCATATTCCACTTTTATAAAATTGCAAAACTTATTCTATCGAATCGCAGAATCATTATTCTTGCTAATCTCATGTACAAAGAAACTCAAGGAAGGTATGTTTTCACGCGTTTTTATGTTTTGTATTTCTTTGAAGATTTTGTTTCGGTTTGGGAATTTAGGGTTTATTCATTTTAATACCCATGGAATCATTTGTCGGTTATGTTTGTTTTGATTTTTGGATTTAGGTTTTGTTCCTCCTATTTTTGGATTTAGGTTTTGCTCCTCCTATTTTTAATGGTGAAGTTAATCTTCCTTATTCAGAAGGCTCTGTGACAAATGAAGTGGATGAAATGACTCTTCTGCACAGGTCTTGGACTTCCCGAGATTTTGTAAATTGTGATGATAGAGGAAGAAGTGAGGGTTCAATTGAAAAAAATAATAATAATGTTGACGAAAGGTACTAATGTTGTGCAATTAGTGAATTACTCTTCTTTTTGTTAGCTTGTGTTTCTTTCCTTTTTGGAATTTCTTTCCTTATTGAATACAGGGAGTGACATTCTGATGTTGAATTGTGCAAACAGGAAACAACTTCTACATGAGACATAGAAAGGCAGGCTCTTCCACACTAACAATATCTCAACAACAGGTGATGTCACGTAAACTTTTTACTTTCTATTTTATGCAACAATTATCACAGAGCTATTATTATTTACAAGTGATAACTTTAACTTAGTGCATTTTGGTAAAACTTAGTATAAAGATTATGAGATCAACAAATACGAACAACACAATTATCAATTCAAGTGTCTTGAGTCTGAGATTTGAATCTGCATAGTAGCTTTGATAGTATTTTGTTCATGTTATCATTTTGAAAATTAAATTGATATCATTTTTCCTTTAATGGCATGTCATCTCAACAGTTACAATAGTCAACATGCCTGGCATACCCTTATTACTTCTACAGTATCAACCGATCAGTGGAAAACTGTTCAAGCTTCAGTATCTTCTAAAAGTGCAAAGGATGGTGCTAGCATTGAAGAAATTAAATAAGCCATCTCAGTATTGTTACAATTACCTAATAGTGTACATAATTTAAACTCTACAGGATGTGATGAATCTGAAGGCAGTGTTAGAAGACCTACCTGGCCTAATAGTGTATATAATTTAAACTCTACAGGATGTGATGAATCTGAAGGCAGTGTTAGAAGACCTACCTGGGAACCCAACAAACCATTGATCATTGAAGACGTTCAAGTCGATCCACCACAGTATGGTGAGGTTCGAATCAAAATTCTCTACACCGCTCTATGCCACACCGATGCTTACACTTGGAGTGGCAAGGTATATCTCTTTCTTTCTAGACATACAATTTTTATGCATCAAGGTTGTCTCATATAACTTATTCATTTGCATTGTTTTTGCAGGATCCTGAAGGTATTTTCCCATGTATACTTGGTCACGAGGCTACTGGGTCGTTATAATACTACCGACACTTCTGGTTGTATGGTGTTCGATAAATCATCGGACACCAATACCAATACACATAACAGTGTCAATGTGTCTGTTTCAGTATTTTGTAACTACTTTATAGATTATTGTCGCTACGCGAAAAATGACACAGAGTCGCCACCGGATTTTATTTATCCCAAGGAGGGAAAGGGAAATAGTGATAAAACCTTTGGTAAAAGGAGCATGGTCATCGCAACCAAGTCTTAGGGTTCGGGAGTCGGTTATGCGAGGGGAAGGTATTAGCACCCCCTCACATCCATCATACTCGATGGGAACCTCCTAAGTTATTTCGCGTGAATGGGTGTTTTTATTAAGAGTTTGCTTGCTTAAGGAAAAGAGGGGTTGGGTTATTTATTTTAATGCTCGCCAAGGATTGTGGCCCTTGTGCCTACGTATCCTCACTTAAAAAAAGTGAAGAATCAGAGCTCCGTAGTTCGGAGGCTTATGAAATAGTTGTTTGTTGGTTGATTTTATACCTTGAAAAAGGGTTTTTGATTGATGCCCTAAGGCGAAAAATAGTTTGATGAGTTGATGTTGTTTTTAGGTTTTTTCTTAGGGAAGAATTTATTCTTGACTAGGATTATACAAAAGACTTTGGATAGAGATGAATGTCTCGAATAACCAAGTCGAGCGCCTTGTATTCAAAACATTCGGAACGAGTGTAAGAGGATTCCATTCTCATACCTTCTCCACCACTTTAAAGTTCATGGTGCATAATTCTAATCGTATATTTTATTGTGTTTTGGGTTTTTTATGAGAAAAAGGATCACTTGATGTTGGACCAAGGTTTATTGTTTGTAAAGATATATTTGAAGCGATACAGACAAGGTCGATGGCGGTGCACAAGGCAACCGACTTACATGGTCGAAAATGGCTCGATAAAATCGAGTTTGTTTTTGAAAATGGTTTTTGGAATCAAAAGTCAACAAGGACAAAAGTGATATTCACACTAAAATCATACAAACATATTGGGTTAGTCGGCTAAAAAAAATGGAGACATGCAAATAAAACGGCATGAAGTGCCATTAAGGAGTTCGCCGTGCGAACTCCTTGAAAAAAATTTTTTTAAGGCAAAAACAGCATAAAAAAAATAAACAAACTGATCAGTTCGCGCCGCGAACTGTGAAAGTTTTCATTCTGATTTTTGCATGTTCGCGCCGCGAACTGTGAAAGTTTTCATTCTGATTTTTGCATGTTCGCGCCGCGACCTGAAGCGAAAACTGCAATATTTTGCTGTCTTTTGTGGCTTTCTTTCCTTTCTATAGGTTTTTAAAAATGATTTCTTGGTCTCCTTAAAACCTTACATGATATACTCAGTACAACAACATATAAAAGAGGAAATAAAATGAATATAAAAGCAAAAAGTAAAGAGAGAAAGGTTTGAAATGGATACCCAAGAGCTTTTTATCTTTCTTGCAAGTCCTCCACTGATTTTTGTTGGATGTGCTCTCCTCTCTTCACTCTATGTTGTGAAGGTTCTCCTTCTCTATGGTCCTCTTGTGCTTCTAAGTCACTCTCTTTTTTTTGGTTTTTCTTCCTTTCTATTTTTCTGGTTTTTTAGGATTTCTCTTGCTCTCTCTATTTTCTGGTTTTTGCAATGTGTGTGGATGTTGAATGTGTAAAGAGTGCATGAATCCTTGTTTACAGCCCCCTCCTTCTTATCTCTCCCCTCTAGGGTTTTCTCTTCTCCCCACATATCAGAATTTTTCATGGGGTGATGTCTCTTACCACCTTTTCTCATGTCACTCTCTTTCTTTCCATTTCCATGCAAGATGTTATGCTGCATTTTTGCTGTTGCACTTTGCCTATGCTGTTTTTTCTGCAGCACTTTGTGCCTTGCACCCATTTTGTTGGCTTGTGCTTGGACAACTCCTCTTGGTCAAAGCTACAACTTCTTGACAACATTTTCAAAATATGATATTTAGATGTATTATCCTATGATATTCTCTTAATTTTGTGACATGTAGATTTTGTGACATGAGGTAATTTGCCACCTCTTGCATGGGTTGTTTTGCCCATGATTAAACATGCATATTCTTGGCCTTAAAACATTCTAATGTTGATTTAATTCTTGCATATTTCTTGGATATTTGTAAACACATTGTGGACTTGGTGCGGCATTACCATAACATGAATTTGATTAGAGACTTGAATGAAGATTAGAAATAAATTAATTTCTAAACATTACTTAGAGTTGGAAATCTTGCAACAAATGACATTCTTGTAATGTCATAAAATTTATATTTATAATATTCTTGCCTCTACTTCATGAATTCATGATGGATTTCCCTAGAACCGTTAAACAAAAATGGATGAAGTAATCTTGAATTTAGGCCTTGAATTTCATGTTCATTAGGAATATATCTTGAATATCCTAATATTTTTTCAAGTAACTTCTCCTTGAAGAAATCTAGGTGAGTAAACCTTCCAATTTGGATCAAACCTTAGGTGATAAACCTTTTTCTTCCATGTAGTCCAAGATAGACGAGTTATCTCATTTGGAATGGAAAATAACAAATCGACCCAATCCATACCCACATGCTCGATATGCAATAGAACGATGTATGATATGGCGAATGTAGGGTATAAAGGCTAAAGGCGAAAATGAAGGTGTGACAATTATGAAAGTATGATAATGTGTTTTTGGTACATATATACTGTATTGCGGAAAGTGTTGGAGAAAGTTAAGCCAGGGGATCATGTGATACCTTGTTACCAAGCCGAATGTAGAGAGTGCAAGTTTTGCAAATCTAGCAAAACCAATCATTGTGGCAAAGTTCGTCCTGCCACTGGAGTTGGACTCATGATGAGTGATCGAAAGAGTCGTTTCTCTGTCAATGGAAAGCCTATCTATAATTTCATGGGAACCTCTACTTTTAGTCAATACATTGTTGTTCATGATGTTGGTGTAGCTAAAATTGATCCTATTGCTCCTTTGGAGGGTAAGTTTGTAAAGCGGTATGAAGATTGTATTCATATTTTCTTAGTATTATTATTTATCTAATTAAGTATGGTAGACAACATTGTGAATTTTGATACAATTATTATTTTTACAAACGTTTCAGGCCTTGGAGCTGTCTGGAACACTACAAAGGTGGAAGCAGGGTCAATTGTTGCCGTTTTTGGTCTTGGAACTGTTGGGCTTGCTGTGAGTTTCTAAAAAGACTAGTACCTAGATTTTCTCTTTAGGTTGGTGTTGGAGTTTCTATTATGTCACATAATTTACACTTGAAAGGTTGTTGAGGGTGCAAAAATTGCTGGTGCATCAAGGATTATCGACATAGATATTGATAGTAATAAGTTTGGTTTCACAAAAGCTAGTCGTAATTATTAATATTTAGTACCTTAATTTGTTTTTTTATATACTTTGCAGCGAAGAGCTTTGGAGTGACTGAGTTTATTAATCCAAAAGAACATGAGAACCCAATTCAGCAGGTTATAGTTGATCTCACAGATGGTGGAGTTGATTATAGTTTTGAATGCATTGGAAATGTCTCTGTAATGAGGGCTGCTTTGGAATGTTGCCATAAGGTGAGTGCTGATGTTAATATTTCTGTCTAAACCCGACATCAGAAAGTTCTCCTGAAGCACTACTTGAGGTGTTATGCTCATTATCTACTCTTTCTACCTCATCAAATGTGATGCCTGGAGATGGAGAGGCCATATTTGTTGCCTCAGATGCACTCAAGAGCATGATCAATTATTGCATTGATGAAACCTTGATTAAACAAGGCGTGGATCAGATAACTTTGGATGAATCAAGGATGTCAGCACCAACCATTATTGAGAGAATTTGTGCAATTGTTGAGAGCTTATTAATTATCACTATGTTGCTGCCTGGGATAGAGTATTTGATGTTGTTTCAGCTATGTTTCACAAATTAGGTATTTTGATTGCTGCGACATATTGTTTTTGTTTCTGGAATTGGCTTATAACATACATAATTTGTTAGATTTTTTCTTACAATGTCTTCGATTTTCATATTCCTCAAGTAGTTGTAGTGTAAAATTCTTGTTGCTTATTTTTGAGATTATTGGTATAATCAATGTAGGAAGTAACTTTCCTTACTTCATGAGAGGTATTCTCAAAAACTTGGAAGATATGCAGAAGCTGCCTGATGAAGATTTTCCCTTTAGTAAACAGGTTTACCTATCCTTTCTTTCTATGTTGCTTCACAATTCTTTGCATTATACTACCCAAATACGAAACTTAAAATCTTGTTAAATCAACTTATGTTTTTTCCCAGCATGCCATATGTCTCAACTTTGAACATATGGTGTCTGGCCTGTAAAAGAGTTGGATACCATTGGAATAATTATATTATACTATGATATTGATATTGGTTATTTCAAAAGCAAATTGGCATTCTGTAACGGCTGGCCCTGTTATTTATTCTGTGATAAATCTTGGTTTAACACATCGTATGAATTAAAATGTGCATTCAATGACATTGTCGTTGATGATGTATGTATGTGTATTATATTATACTATTATTTTTTGTATGATTAGACAATAAATTGTTTGACTTTCTATGACTCATCCAAATTTAAGTGTTTTCATGGTTTGCTTTTTTAGCCAATAACTTAATTAAGTTGATTTTCAGTTTTTGGATAATGAATATTTTGCTATCCTATAGCTTCAACACGGGCTTCAAAAGTGCTTCAGGTGACAATAACACTGCAATACCGGAGGGTAACATTCATTCAACTATTTCTATTTTGTGTTTATCAACATTAGTGTCATGTTTGAATGACTTGCGAAGAATGGAAGTGAGTTTGAGAAAAAGACTAAGCAGCACATTAAGGAATATGCAGATGCTGGTTTAAGGACCTCGATATTGGCCTATCGTGAACTTGAGGAAGAATAGTACACTCTTTTTAATAAAGAATTGATGGAAGCCAGGAGCTTAGTAAGTGCAGATCGAGAGCAGATTGTGGAGGACGTATTAGAAAAGATCGAAAAGGATTTAATTCTTCTGGGTGCTACCGCAGTTGAAGACAAACTTCAAAATGGGGTATGTTACAACTAGTGATAAAGTTATCTATGCTCAGTTCTGAGCTAGCTTTTTGAAGTTTGAACTAAGTGCGTTTAAAACTTTGCAATCGCTTTTTGACATATAGGTTCCTGAATGTATTGATAAGCTAGCACAGGCAGGAATAAAGTTATGGGTTTTGACTGGTAATAAAATGGAGACAGCAATCAATGTCGGGTGAGTTCGTACTTATCAACAGTTTTGAAAATTCTGTCATAGTAATATGAAGTCATCGGTATGATGATTTCAGTGTCACCATAGGTTTGCTTGTAGGTTACTTCAGCAAGAAATGAAACAAATTATCATTAGTTCAGACACTCGAGAAACCAAATCACTTGAGAAAATGGAAAACAAGTTTAATGCTGATGTGGTAAATATAATTATTGTTTTCCATGGAGCTTTGGCTTATTGGATGTGTGATTGTGATGAAAGTTAATTGATTCTGCAGGCAATCAAGAAAAGTGTTGTTTGTCAATTAATGGAAGGAAAGGAATTACTTGGTGCATCAATTGAAAACGCCGAGGCGTTAGCTATAATAATTGATGGAAAGTCTATGACATATGCACTAGAAGATGATGTAAAGGACTTGTTTCTCGCACTTGCAGTTAGTTGCGCGTCTATTATATGCTTTCGTTCTTCTCCGAAGCAAAAAACACTTGTATAATTTCTGTGACTTTATATGCGTACCCTTTTTTCTTCCTATAATGCTGATTTGAACATGTTTAGTCTTTCTATTACAATAATGCAGGTTACTAGATTAGTAAAGATTAAAATAGGTTGTACTACTATTGCAATCGGCGATGGTGCAAATGATGTTGGAATGCTCCAAGAAGCAGATATTGGGGGTGGCAGATCATCCTCAAACTGTTATGTTGAGTAAGGTTTTAGAATCCAACATATCCTTGGGACAAGCCCATCACAACAAGTTAGAGGCATCAATAATTATAAGGCGGTGGATGGAGCTTCAACAATCTATAAACCTCTTATTTGACAACAAATCTGCTTCCAAAATAAGTGGGATGTATTTAAAAATTTGTCAACACTCCCCCCTTTCTTGCAGTGATCTAATTGACATTACATCAGTGTGCAGTGATTGCACTAAATCATAACAAACATGTACAGTAGACCTACGTTATTCTTGTTTGTGCAGATTCCTTCTGACAAAGCATCATATGTTAAAAATGTGAATGTGAAGTTGAACACCAATGATGATTTTGTTTGTCATGTATACGTGTGTATTCAAGGCTGAATAATTTCTTTCTTCTGAAACTTGACTAACTATGCATTCCTCATTTCATACTTATATATAAGTGTGTGTGTGTGTGTGTGTGTGTGTGTGAATATTTGATTTATAAATGATTTTATTTCTTTGCATTATGCTCCTGCAGGTTGTCATTGATTCAGCCGCATCTCTTGATGACGCAGGGCCTAGTGGTAATACTACGGGGAATAATAGTATGGATTCTACCAGGGGATATGGTGCTCCTGTGAGACCATATTTTGATCGAAGTTCTGTGAGGCCTTATTTTGATCAAAGTCCTGTGAGGCCTTCATTTGATCAAAGTTATGTGAGGCCTTATTTTGATCAAAGTCCCGTGAGGCCATATGGGAGGATGTACGATAACCTGGATTATGACAATGTGAGTATAGACTATATAGCTTCATTACTATTATTTGCATTGCTGAGAAAATCTGAGAAGTTAATAGAAAACTGGAGAGATTCGAGAGAATCTGAAATTTGGATTTTCTAAACTCTGAATCTAAAGACTTAGGTTGCAACTGATTAAGATTCCTAGTACAGTATTTTTAGACCAAGTTGATAGTTATAGTTTACTGTTAGATTATGTACTGAAAAAATATGATTACTACTAAGCTACAATAAGCCCATCCCAACACACTAAGTGCAGTTGGTTAAAGGCCCAGTTTGCTCCTATGAGCCAAAGACTCATTTGCTAACTGAAACAGGAGAAATACAATTAAATAGCAGAAATCCTAATTGACAAATATACTTATAATACACTTGAATGATTTTATAACTGGTAAGAAATGGTAAATTAGGTTATATATCAAGAATTTGACCATTTTATATATTTTTTGGAATCTACTAGACCCTTAACATTAAGCTACTGTTAAGTTAATATATTAAGCTACTATTAAGTGTAATTTGCTTCATTTACCAATAGCTGAAATTGCATGGTAAATGAAGCTTTAGACTTGTTTGATTGTCCCACCTTTGAATGTATGTAGTAATACTGTTTTATGTCACCAATATATTCCAGAACCAGGTGGTATCGAGCATGCAGCAGAAGCTTGACGATCTTTGTGAGCAGCTTAACAGTTCTGAAGAGAACAGAGTTGTTGCTATCAACAAGTTATCCAATAAGGATATGGAGTTACAATTGGAAGAAACATTTGGCTCCGAGAGAATTAAGTTTGTTGGTTGTGGTTGTTGGCATTATGAAGAACATTCTTCATTCTATAATGATGATGGTAAGGAAGTCATACTCATACTAACTGTATTGTGGTTATTGTATAGCTTTTACTTGCTGCTGAACAATTATAACACTGCATCTTCCTAACGGGTTCATTGAAAAACTTAATCAATTTTACGACAGTAATTATATCTCAATTAAGCTCCTCTAGAATTTCGTTAAGTCGGAGATATAGATGGCTACTATATCTAGAATGCACAAGAAGAGTTAGGAAATTTAGTTAGGAACATGCTCAAACTTCTATCTTATTGGTGCAGGTTACCAATTTTTATGCTACTAGTAGTCGATATGGCACTCCCGATGACTTCAAGCGGTTAGGAAAAACATGCTGCTGGATCATATTTAGTATTGGACACTGAGACAGAAAAAACATGCTGCTGGATTATATTTTTGGCCTTAATTGAGTTCATTGAAATACAAGGATAATAGCTATAAACCCATGTCTGCAAGGGTGACAATTGATACTCGGTGCACCTCAGAGAAAAGATACATGAGCTATTAATAAGCTTTTGTTGGAGCATATGTATAATTGAGATTTTGAGCTTGTTTGTTCCTTAGAAAAGTAAAATGATGTATTGATCTTTTCTACGCTGACTTTGCCTTTATTTGAAAACCTGTAAATGCGAATTGTGATTTGACTTTTTGAATAGGTAAACAGGGACAACACAAGTTCTGGGGAACGGGAATGTTCAAATATGGCGACGTTGATACTAGAAAGGGGGTTGGTGAAGCCAAAAGATTAGCAGCAACTAGAAGACTACAAAACTGATTATGAAGGGCTCATGATGATACTAGAAGACCACAAGTGATTTTCTTTATTGGTGCTAACTGGAAGTAATTTTTAAGCTTTTGTAGATGTTCATGTCTATCCTCTAAGGCAAAATCATACCAAAGAATTCTTCAGCCATCGGTAGAAAATCTTAGATCATCACTTGGTGTGGAAAATTAGGCAGAATATCTTGGATCATCATAGGTTGTACAATTATATTGATTATATTGTATATATCAAGTTATAGATTATGACATTTGATCATTTAGATATTCATTAGTATATATTTAGTAGAAAATATAATAAGTTATTTAAAAAAGTGATATAATGAAATATCAATTGTTTTTTAAGTTATATAAATTTATATATTTGTTATATGTGAGTCTTTATATATTTGATATACGTGAGTCTTTATATATTTGATATATTACCAAAAAACAATAATAGTTTAAATTAAAAAAGCTATTATAAAAAAAATGAGATGAAAGTAATTTAAATAAAAATAAAATATTATTAAAAAAATTACGACGGTTTAAACCGTCGCAACTAGCATAAATAATATTTAGAATTAGTAAATATAATTACGACGGTTGAAAACCGTCACAATATGGAGATTATGACAGTTAGCTACCTGTCGTGAAAATAAATAATATTTAGAATTAATAAATATAATTACGACGGTTGAAAACCGTCACAATATGGAGATTACGACAGTTAGCTACCCGTCGTGAAAATAATGACGGTTTGTACAACAGTTTTCACAATCGTCGCAATACGGCCTCGCGACGAACGTTTCTACGACGGGGTTGAAACCGTCGTAACTTACAAATTGCGACGGTTAAAACCGTCGTAATATGTCAAAATGAACCGTCGCAATTTGCCAATTTTCTTGTAGTGTACTTATATAATAACGGCTGATAAAAAAACGTTATTATAGGTCCTTTATGAAGTTTTCAATAGCGCTTTATCAATAAGTGGTATTAAATTAGTGCTATTGTAAGTCAAAATTATGATAGTCTGTGCATTTAACTCATAAACATAAAGGACGCAAGATGTACAACATGAACATGTCTATTGGAGTCTGGATATTAAACACCTATAAGTTGAAGTAAGAAAACTTGTTAGTATAAAACTTGTTGAAACACATGTAAAAACATTTAGAAATAATAACAAGCAAAAAATTATGAATAAAAAAATAATATTTACTTGTTAGTTTTCTCTTCATATGAAGTACACACATGTTGTGAAAGAAGCAGTCTCAAGAATATCGAGTTAAATCTTGATTTTCATCACTAAGAATAATGTGTTTTCCTTTGAGACCAATTGAACATATATTGTCATAAGCATCAACATATTTTGCATTATACTACAATCATCCTTTGACATACATTTAATTGTCTCAGATGCACTCTCATCATTAGAAATGATTTCATTAAATAAATTTATGAAACTCTTCTTATACTCTGTCAACAACCACTTGTCACTCATCCGGGGGAATCATTCATTGATAAGTCTTTTGTGAGTGGGAAAGTAAGGTTGAACTTCATCAATGTCATTCAATATATACAAAATGCTTTAAAAAATACATCTTGAGTTATTCACTTGATATTTAAACCTTAAGTACCTTTACCTTCATATCTTCCATTATGACGAGACTTAAGAATAGTTTGAACAAAATTCAATAGCTTCTTTTATGGTGTACCTTTCAACGATCGAAGCTTCTAGACAATGATGTTTTTTTATATAACCTTTAAACTTCTTAATGTATCACTCTACTGGATACATCCACCTTAAATAAACTGAGCCAAAAACTCTGATCTCTTTGACTAGATGAACAATTATGTAAGCCATAATGGAAAAAAATGGTGGGGGTGGGGGGGTGGGGGGGGGGGGTGGGGGGGGGGGGGGGGGGGGGGGAATACATCTCCAATTGACAGAAGATAATTGCAACCTCATGTTCTAACTCATCTAACTTTTTTGGATCAAAGACTTTATTACATATATCATTTAAGGGTAAGCATAATCTAGTTATAGTTACTCTTACTTTTTTTGGTAAGATACCACTAATAGCCACTGGCATAAGTTGTTGCATTAAGACATTAAAATACTGAGATTTTAAGCCAATTAATTTGAGATCTTTCATTGATACAAGTTTCTTGACATTTTATGAGTACCCTTGGGAAATTTGATGATATGCAAACACTCGCAAAAACTTTTTTTCTTTTCTAGATAGATTGTGACATGATGGGGGAACATATGTTATTTTTCCTATTTATGAGGCTAACTCTTTTTGTATACCCATCACCACCATATCTAGACGGGAATTCTTACCATATTTTCTCTTGACTTTAATGTTGAGAAGTGTGTTAATCAAACTATCACACATTTTTTTTAACACATGCATCACAACAAAATGGGGTAGTGGAGAGGAAAGACAGATCTCTAGAAGAGCTAGTGATGAAGATGCTTAATGAGACTAGCCTTCCTAAATACTTTTAGGTCGACGTAATACTTTTGGGGTCTACCTAATTATTTTTGGGTGGATGCAATTAATACAACATTCCACATCTTAAACAGGGTGATCATTCAAACTATCATAAAAAAGACCCCATATGAGCTATTTAAAAGTAGAAAGCCTAATATTTCTTATCTTCACATTTTCAGCTACAAATAATTTATTTTCAATAATATGAAAGAAAAGTTAGGAAAGTTTAATGCTAAGGATGATGATGGAATCTTTATAGGGTATACCTTATCAAGTAAGGAATATATGATATTAAACTTTAGAACATTTGTTGTTGAAGAGTCTATTCATGATACATTTGATGAAAACATACCCCAAAACACGAAAAAAGGTGGTTCTAGCTTTGATGTTTCAGGAGTGTTAACTAAAGATCTGGCCAAGTTGATAGTCCAAAAGAGGATCCTCCTAAAGGTGAGGACATCAAAATTTATAAATAGGAAATCAAACAAGAGGATGAAAATCAAGATAACTTAACCAAATTACCTCAAGAGTTGATTGTTGCGAAAGACCGTTCAATAAAAAACATTATGAGAGATATCAAAAAGGGTGTAAGTATGACTTCTCATATTAATAATTTTTGTAATTATTTCTTATTCATATCTAAAATTAAACCTAAAGACACTTTTGTGGCTTTGAATGATGAAGGTTGACTCTTTTATATGCAAGAAAATCTCAATTAGTTTAAAAGAAATGACATATGTGATCTTGTCCCACGTTCTCTAAATAAAACTGTCACATGCACCATATGGGCCTTAAGGAACAAGCTTGATGAACACGACATAATTACCAAAAATAAAGCAAGGCTAGTGACAAAGGGTTACTAGAGTTGATTATTAGGAGCCATATGCTTCTATAGCCTGTTTGGAGGTGATTCTTTTCCTTTTGGTTGTATTTTAAATTGTATTAAATGGACATTCAGTCTAACTTCCATTTAAATTGTATCAAGTCTTTTCATTAAGTCGTGTTTTGCATGTATTAAATCGATCCTTGAGATAAAAGTCATAGCAAATTGGTTCAAGTTAAATTAGTCAATTATTTGGGTCATGAAAACACATGAATGAATAGTTCATATCATACTAGTTTTAGATTCAATCTTACACTTCAAGTTTCATAAAAATTTAATTTTTTGAAGTGTGATCGGAATAAAAGTTAGTATGATTTGAATCAAAAGTTGAATGTAAAAAAATATATTTTGTCACTGCTAGTGTGATTTGAATCACAAACTTCTTTGACTCGAATCAAAAGCAAGTTTGATTCGAATCAAGCTAAAAGTTGACTCAAATAAAAAATTCATTTTAAAATCAAGATTTAAGTTCCATTAGTATGATTCAAATCAAAGATTTTTTTTACTCGAATCACATACTTAAATCATGATTTGAATTAAAATGTCAAAATTTTAAACATGATTAACTTTAATTTGAAGAAGAGTGTTAGTGTAATAGATTTATATCGTGTACTTTTATGTATGTTTTTTTTTTCTTGCCAAACTTTCAATAATTCATATTAATGAATTGTGTGTTTGAAGGAAGATGTTAAATAATATGTATAGGATCTTTTTCTATAACTAAGAACTTATTTTCATAAGTTATAATATCCACGTTATTGAAATTCTAATTTTTACTTTTGTTACTTTGTCAATTGATAACATAATTTAATTTATTACTAAAAATATAAAACTAATTCATATAATTAAATTAATTATAGTTATAATTGAGAAATGAATGAGATTATCTTCTCAAATAAATTGATTATATTTTTAAACATAATTAACTTGATGTTGCGGATTGTACTAAAAAAAAGCATTTGTAAATTAGTATTTCTTTTCCTCTCACTTTGTTCTACACATGTATGACATAATAAATTTTATTTTCCTTCCATTCAAATCCTCACCAAAGTAAAATAGTTACTATGTAAAATGAAGCACAACCAAAAGACAGCATCTTCAGCATCACACCCCAAAAGAATTTGATCATGTCACTCCTCTTATCTAACCACAACAAAAAACAAACATCTGTCAATTGTCTCTCCACTCCACACTAAACTACAAAAAAACTACACAATTACTGTCTAGCTTACACCATACAACAATCTGATCCAATCCTCACTTTCTTTCTTACATATCATCAAAATCAATAAAGTGAAAAAACCAATTACACTACACACTCAACTCATTTACTCATATGCAACTATTTAAATGACAATCTATATCACTAAAAATTTTCACAATTTCAGTCGATACAGATATTATAATACTAATCAGTATGAATTAATCACACGAGACTAGTTCGATCTTCCGACTGATTAATCAAAGAAAATCAATCTCAATTTTTATTCTTTATAATAAAAATACATCTTCTGGTCACTATTATAAAACAAATTTAACTTTTTATAGGACATTATATAAACTAAATACATTAATAATCAATAATAAATAACAGTATTGATATTAGTATATTTCAATATCATTTTGTCGCAGTTGTTTTTTAACCGTATTTTAAATCCTTCCTCATATTGCAAATTTCTCACTCTTCATTTCCTTACATTTGAACTTGAAAGGAGGCAGAGTATAACTGTCCCCTTAACGCATCCCAAGACGTGTCTTTTGTTTGATCCAAACAAGGAAATAAAACGACAAATTCATCAACAAAAACGACTTATCAATAAGCAAAAGCAAAGTACATCACATTCTATTCTAATTTTTAACTTTAAACTTTCTTCATCTTCTTTTTCTTCTTCTAATCTTCTTCTCACATTCAAATAAAAATCCCGCTACCATTTTCTTTATCACACCCAAATTCAAATCTTTTGATTCTTCCATTGCTTTTTATCATTGGAGAGTTTCATAATCAGAAAAGAAAAAAGAAAAAGAACACAATTGATCAGTTTTTTTCTTCCTTTTTTCTACTAAATTATTATAAACATGAAACTCTTCACATCATCATCGTCACCTTCATCTTCATCAACTTTTAGTTTCGACCCGACATTTTGCAGCTCGAAAACTATAGCTGTAGGGTGTTTTGCAACCATTTTTCATAGGATTAGGGAGTTTCATTCAAAGTTCACTAGTGAAAAAGTTCAAAAGTTCAAAACTAACACTACAATTAATAGTACTATAGCTTCTTCTTCTTCGTCGTCGTCGTCTTCTTCGGGTATAGTTGCAAGGTTGATGGGTTTGGATTCAATGGCAGAATCTGAATCAACACAAAGTTCAAAAGCTCACTATGTGTCACAAGGTTTTCAATTGCTTGAAAATGAGAACTTTTTGGTGTTTAGCTTTGAGAGTGGAGGTGAGAGTAGAAAATTGAAGTCAAAAGGGAGAAGAAAAGAGAAGGGTTGTGTTGATTTGAAGAAGAGAAGAGAAGAGAGAAATGAGGTGAAGAAAAACAAGAGAGAAATGGTGAATGATGGTGAAGTTCAGTTTGAGAATAGTTTGTTTAAGGAAGTTGGTAATGGTGAGAAAGTGAAGAAGAGAAAGAAAGGAAAAACATGTTTTGTGGAAAATAAGGTTGAAAGTGAATGTGGTTCAGAAGATTCTAGTCCTGTTTCTGTGTTTGATTTTGAACGTGATGTTTCTGGAACAGGTTTGTTTCTTCAATTGTAGTTTAACTTTTTTGTTAATTTTATGGCTAACTATTCTGGTCGATCTCAAATCTGCGCCACCGCAGTTATGAGAACTCTCACGACATTCTTTTTTAGAAAAGATGTCTCTGAGTTTAGGTATATGAATATTGTATATAAACTATTCTCAGTCTCAATTTTTAAATAATGTGAGACTATTTTGACTGGTATCGAACACTAACCAATTATACATAATCTTGTTGCAGAGGAAGATCTTTGTGATGTTGCTATAGGTTGGAGAAGAAAATTATCACCGGTGCTTGAAAATGACCAGCTCTATATTCAACATTGTGATAGTAACTTGATGAATGAAGAAGAGATGGAAGTTGAGGAAATTGAGAACAACATGCATGAAGGATCAAAGAAAAAAGAGAGACAAAAGTCACAAAACAATGAGTGTGTAGATATTTGGAGTAAAATTTGTAGGCTAGTTGAAGATGAATTACCGGATGTGAAGAGGAAGCAAAGTGATTTTGAAAGTTTAAGTGCTGATTTAGAGTCAGAGATTTTAGATGATATGTTAGATGAGCTTATAGATCAGTTTGTTACTTCTTGTTTGTAACTTTTTTCCGCAAAAATTGAATATCTAATGCGCGCAGGTATAGACTAATCTTTCGAGTCGGAGAAATTCACAATAGACAGCAAAACTCTTCCTCTAAGTCTCGGTTTAAGCTGGAAGAAATTCATTAACTTACCGTCCAAGTCATATAAGATTTGTAATCCTTTGAAAACATTGCAAATTTAGAATATGTAAAACAAGCTAATTTATGAAGTGTAGATATTTTAATTCTTCCTCTTATTATTCAACTTTACTAATCCTTATTCTGAAGTGTAAATGTTTTCGTTACTAGAAGATTCTTCAAATCATGTTCCATTTTATTGGTTGAAAGTATCGAAGCGGAAATAACAAAGTTCATCCTAATATACTTTGGGATTTACACAAGACAAGAAAGACAAGTTCAATATCATGAAGCACCTACAAACAAGGATAAAGTGGACGGTTTTTAAAGGGGACAAATGTTGTGTCCACTAAAATATTGAAGATGCTTTTTGTTTTCTGCATAAGGGGTTGGTGTACCAAAAACTAAAGCAACATTTGAGGGAAAAACTAATCGATGATTCAAAAATTAAATTAAATAACTAATTAATGACTAACAAGAAAATTATATTAAAAATATGTAAAACTTTTATAAAATTTAATAACATCAATAATAAATATTTTAAATTACTCAAACATTACTAATTGATAAAAAAATTTAAGAAAAAAAATAGTAAATTATCCCAAATTATAAGAGGTTATTTCTATGGACAAACATAAAACACTATAATTACACCTTATTTATTTGTAGAATTTATAAATAACAAATGTGTTTTAGATTATAAAAATATATTAACTAACTAGATAATTAAAATTATAAAAAAAAAAAAAATACACTAGAACTAAAATGAGTTATATCTAAGGCAAAATATCCTTCTTGGTCCCTTAACTATATCTCGGGGTTCATTTTGGTCCCTTAACTTTAAAAAGTTTCATATTGGTCCCTTAACTCTTCAAATGTTCCATATTAGTCCTTTTTGACCTATTAGCGACGGTTTTTTGATTTTTTTTCCGTTACTAATAGGTCAAAAATGACTAATATGGAACGTTTGAAGAGTTAAGGGACCAATATGGAACTTTTTTAAGTTAAGGGTCCAAAATGAACCCCGAGGTATAGTTAAGGGACCAAGAAGGATATTTTGCCTATATCTAATTACATAGATTTATCTCTAATTACATAGAATTATCCCTATTATATAATATATGTCATATAATCTATTTTTTCCACATCAATTAAAATTCTATCTGTCACTCTTAGAATTTAATCTAATAATAAATTTGCACAATTGCTCTTCATCACTTCATTATAATCATAAAATTTAAAATTATTCTGTCTCATTCTTTATATGTCTTTCTACAATATAATTTTTAATCTATTATCTATTATCTATTATAATATATTAATTTTAAAAAATAAACTATTTGATTGACATTTCATCATCTCTCATGTCACGTCAATTGAAATATGATGTGGCACTCTTCAAAATTTATAAAAAAAGTATTTAATATTCATTTTAATATAATGTGTAATATTCTACACATAATTATTAAAATAAAACACTCTTTTTTATATATTTCTCAAATCATTTCTTTATTTTATTTTTTATATATTAATCATTACTTTTTTTTGTGTGTCTACTATATTTTTTTCGGATTAAATACATAATATGATATTTTACCCCACAAAAATTAAAATGACTTTTACATTGTTCAAAATAAAATGGTTAAATAATACTTTAAAATTTAATTTATAACTTTGCAATAGACAAACAAATGCCTTTTTAAAATATAAATTTTAATTATAATTATAGTTACATTTTAAAAATTAAACTTCAAATATAAGATTAAATAAATATTTTTTATCCTAATATAAATATCCACCAATATCTTAGTAAGTTATAAATAATTAATATAAAAAGATAATTCAATTGAATTAAATCAATTGTATACGTTAAAATTATTGGTATAATGAAAGAAAAATACAAAAAAGTAAAACAATATTTTTGTATTTATTTTTAATACATGATTCTTCATCCAACTCAGATAAATATATTAAATCATTATATTCATTATCTTTACCATCTACTAAGACATTATAAAATGGAGATTTACATCTTAGATTTTATGCAAAATGTGATGATTGGTTACATACTATGTGAATCGTTCAAATATGGAACATATAGAATCCATAAAATGATGGAAAAAAAACATTTTTGATGTTAAAAAAATAAAAAATGAAACAATAAAAAAACTTTTGAAATTTATATATTTATGTCACAGTTAACTTTTTAAATTTTGATGTCTTATCTTATATTTTCATGATTGAAAAATAATTATTTTATAATATATTTTTTCTTAATATTCTTTTCATATTATTGGCTTAATTAGAAAATTATTTATGCTAAATATAATGAAGATTTATCTAATCTAATATCGCTTAAATGACTCATCTCAATCTTGTGCATCGTCCGAATCCTAATCTAGTTAAATAGAGTAGTTATGCTACGTCAAATGTGAGTAGAGTAATATGAAAAAGTGGACTAGTGATGACAAAGAATGAAACACTGACAAAACATATTCCTCTATTCAGCGCAAAATATATATATATATATATATATATATATATATATATATATATATATATATATATATATATATATATATATATATATATATATATATATATATATATATATATATATATATATATATATATATATATATATATATATATATATATATATATATTCAGAACTGATTAGAGACAAAGGAACATTTAAACCACTTCACGGAATGTGAGGACAAATTTTAACGAGAAATCTATTACATGAAAGTCATTCTCGAACCTCTAGTATCAATATGAAAGGTAATGTAAAACGAGTCTAAAAAGCGGTGCAAGTATCTCAAAGTGAAAGGCCATTATAACAATGATTGTTGTAGAATGAAAAACGAGATATAGCGACTCATCCAAGAAAATCATTTGAGAAGATACATCTAAGGTCCTCCAGTAGGATGTGGATCAAGAGATCTGTAAGAACACAGATTGTGTCTTAGTAATATCTCTATGTTTTGATGATAACTCTTATGAAATTTTGTATTAAAGAATTATATACTCTAAAATTGGTTCATGAATATTTGCTGCAGATGATTAAAGTATATATACATCCAAGAGCAAATTAATCTGAACATGGAACTATGGAAGGCTCTGAAGAGTCAGAATCATCATATAGAAGAATCTGAGCGCTGTCTGCAGAAGAATCTGAAGCAGAAGCTGCAGAAGAATCTGAAGCAGAAGACTCTAATAAGATCTGAAGACTCTGAAGCATTGAAGAACTTTGTATGAGAGTTAAGAAGCATAGTTTTTCAGAAGACTCTGAGAGTACTGCACGTTGCATGTACTAAGGATCTGATTCATAAAACTCTGCTCTGATAGAACTACACGCTAAAGCACACTTGCTGCATTACTCTGATTCAGGAAAATCTGATGGGTATCCAAGACTCTGATCATGCAGACTCTGATGTTAACTTTGCTGAAAAGAAACACTTGTTGAAGAAGAATTCAAAGTAATATCTTTTGATTTGGCTCAGCGACTCTTTCCTCTTTCATGCTTGACACTAGAACACAGACCAAAAGCATTTCTCTGTGCATTCTATTTCCAGGAAAGGTCATGTGATGTAAAGACAAAAATGTTCAGGCCTTTTCAGTACACAGCCTTCAACGTCAAGACTTTGTGGACTACTGTGCATATAAAAGCAAGTCTTCCTCATCTTCTTCAATGTAATAAAGAACCAACGAATCTGTGATAGAAACTCTTACAAGCTCTCATAAAATATTCTTATTGCTGAGTTTATACTTTTGTTCTTAACATTAAGTGAAAAATCACTGTTGTGATAAAGCTTGTTAGAAGCATTCAAACACTTGTATTAATTTTACATTTTATTGTAATAGTTCCTTAAGAAGTTCCAGTTGGGATCAGTAGTTCTTGAGAAGACTTTGAACAGTTGTTCTTAGTGCTTACTATTGTAATCAGTTGATTAAATAGTGGATTAAGTCCTTGTTTGAGAAAGGCAAATCACTCTAGATAGGATGGACTGGAGTAGTTGAGTTCAACGAACCAGGATAAAAATACTTGAGTTTTTACTTCTAAGTTTTATCTTCATACTTATTCAACCCCCCTTCTAAGTATTTTCTCACCTTCAGTTGGCATCAGAGCTCCGGTTCTGTGTGTGCTACCACTTCACAGTGACAGAAAAGATCCAGTGAGAAAAACTTTGATACTTATATTTGGTTGTTTATAATGGCTGATGTTTCAACATCTAACAAGTATGAAGAAAGAGACATAATCAATACTAAACCCCCTATGTTTGATGGGGAGAAATTTGATTATTGGAAAGACAGGATTGAAAGTTTTTTCCTTGGTTATGATGCTGATTTATGGGATTTGGTCATAGATGGATATGTTCATCCCATTGATGGGAATGGCAAGAAAGTAGATATAAAATCTATGACAAAATCCCAAAAGAAGGAATTTAGAAATCACCACAAGGCTAGAACAATATTGTTAAATGCAATATCTCACACTGAGTATGAAAAGATCACAAATAGAGAAACTGCATTTGACATGTTTGAGTCCTTGAAAATGACTCATGAGGGAAACTCTCAAGTCAAGGAAACAAAGTCTTTGGCTCTAATTCAGAAGTATAAAGCTTTCAAGATGGAAGAAGCTGAATCTGTTGAAGCCATGTTCTCACGTGAAGAAGATCATCAGAAGCTTACCTACCAGATGGAGACCTATGGTGACTGCGCTGAAAATGGCTAAAGATCTGAACCAGATTTCCTTGGAGGAACTAATCAGCTCACTAAGGAGCCATGAAATTGAACTTGAGGAAGATGAGCCACAAAAGAAAGGTAAGTCAATTGCCTTAAAATCTAATAAATCTGCTAAAATGTTGCAGGTAATAGA